TGGAACAAAATTCACTTAACAAATGTCTCACTTAACAGAAATTTTGGGCTCAATTGTGGTAGTAAGTCAATGATTATCTGTATATGATTATTGTGACAAGATTACTGTATGTACAGAGATGGAAAGGTACAACATTATTTATAAACACTTCACAGTGCTTTACAGCCCTCTCTAAGGGGTTTACAGACGTAGCATATTGTCGCCAACAATCTGGGCCCTCATTTTACTGATCTGAGAAGGCTGAGTCAACCTTGAGCAGGTCAGGATCAAACTGCCAAACAGCTGGCAGTGAGCAGTCAGCAGAATTAGCCTACAATACTGCATTCTAATCACTGTGTCACCATGGTTCTTATCTTTTTTTAAAAAAAAATATTTGCTTTCATTCAATACCATTTATTGTCCATTGCATTGCCAATAACAATCCTTTTCTGGATAGACATTACAGAAACATGAGTCATTCTTTTAAAAGGCCCAATGACTGATATATGGAACTTGATTATAGGAAATGGACAAATCCGTAAGACCCCAAGTAGCCCCTTGGTTCCAGACAATGAAGGTTCACTTTAAACTGAACATGAAATGAACAGAAAACAGTGCCAAGTTGCAAAATTGATATAACCAAGTAGCCAATCAGCTGCAAGCAAGCTGATGATTGAATTTTGCACTACTTGAAGTTTCCATAATGTTTTTAAGGGGTAGATCTACTTACACATTATATCAGTCTTGTCTGGAGTTGCAATTGACAATAAAAAGCACTCCTAGCTACTAAAATCAGCAAATTCCTCTAGCCATGAATTCCAGATATGACAGTGCTTTCCTTTTTCTCTATATCTCTGGGCAGCAGAGGAACTGGTAATATCACAGTTGAACTTCGTATTAATCACTATTGTATATAGTCTATTACTTTCTAGCATCACAAATGTACCTCTGAAACTCAGCTCTCCAGATATTAATGCTTTATTCAGGAGCTTGTTACTGAGAAGTAGTCTCACAGATGCAACTATGATTTTGCAGACAAAAATTAAATATAGGAAGTCTGTCTCATAAAATGAGCACATATGGTATATAAATCTATGCTGTGAGGTTATTCTGGGCTTCTTCCTGCTGTTTTGTGTAGATATGCAAAAACAGGCTTGAAATGTTTAGCAATTGATATATATTGACCTAAGCTGGAAATGCTGAGCTAAAAATGCTGGTTCCTACCTCACTAGCTTCATTTCTTACGATCACATAAGACAAGGCTGGAAAACATTGTAGGTACGATCAAGTTTAAGGAATTGAAATTATGAAATTGAGATTCTCCTTTAAAGGGAAATTATGCAAGCATATTAACATACTACATGTGCTGAAGTATAACAAGTTCTTTCTATAAGTATAAACCATCATACATTATGAAGTAACAGAGAACAGATGACAGTTATTTTCAACATGTTGAGAATAAACTTCAATGAATTTTTTTGCCACTTTTTGTAGATAATGATGTGCTATTTTGAGACTCGATGAGAGTTTTTCATTGTTTACTTCTTTAAATTAGCAGGCCTTAATATAGGAACTAAGTAGTGTTTCCAAATAAAATTTACTTGAAAAAAACATCACATTTGTAAGCATCTGTTGTTATCTACTAATAATGTACTGATATGGTACCAAATCTTTTCACCTCAAGTTTAGGAAGTTATCTAACTTGGAAGAAGATTTCACTCCTATAGCCTGAGAAAGGGATGAAACTACTTTTGTGCTTATTTTCTCCCTTGTGGCAAGAGGGAGTATTGGAACAGCTCCTGAACTCATATACAAATAAAACCAAAAAAAATGAAAGAAGGCAGATATGAATAGGAAGATTGCAGACTGAAACTATGGATGAGCACTCATCAGCATATAGGAGTACCATTGATAGGAAGGTCAAAGTCATTCATCCCTCTCTTCCATTCAAGGCAGGAAGCACCCACAACCACGGTTACTTTAGAAACACTGATGGAAACTTTCCATTTACCAGCAACTGCAGTAAGTTATGCAAAATATTTGTTTCAGTAAAAAAAAAAACATACATTAGAAAGGTGACACAGATTCAGAGGCCTCAGTGAATAGAATTGTGATGCAATCTGTATAGTCAGATGAGAGCACTGTGCTGTAACAAGCAAAAATGCTACAACTGCCAGACTTTAAGCAACTTAAGGACCTAAAAGTCCAACAAAATTTCTTAAGGTGCAGTCTGGTATATGCCTGGTTGAGAGACTGACTGAGATTGCTATGAACACTACCTTGAGTGATACAGTGGTTTTCACTACTATGGTAGTGCAGTGGTTAGAATTGCAAGCTCACTACTCACAGCCAGGAATTTGATCCTGACTAGCTCAAGGTAGACTCAGCCTTCCATCCTTCCAAAGTTGGTAAAATAAGGACCCAGATTGTTGGGGGGCAATATGCTAACTCTGTAAACAACTCACACAGTACTGTAAAGAATTATGGAGCAGTATATAACTCTAAGTGCTATTGCTTGAATCGAGAAGAAATATTGGATACAAGTATAGAAAATAGCTGATTCAACTGGAATTGGTTGTTTTCTGATTCAATTAGAATTGTTTCATTTGATTTGTTTATATTTTCAGATTAAAGATTCTGTTGGTTTGTAATAGAATCTTCTTAAAACATTTTAACAATATAACAATGATGTACTTTTTGTTACTGATCTTTATTTATTATTATTTTGTATAAAAGCATAGCAAGTATGGCTATTCTCTTTCATTGGGCAGAACAGTTACATCCTGAGTTATATGAATTTATAGAAGGGAACTGTGTTTGCCGGCCCCACACTTGAAATAGAGAGTATCTTTTGAATGCTATTCCAAATGTGTTGGTATGAGATTTGGTTCACCTCCAAGATGTGATAGAGCCCTATTCTTGCTTCCCTACATTCAGGAATAGGCAGTGCATAAGGAATTAATAGTACAAGCTTATTTTATATTACTGTGCAGATGGAATCTTGATCAAGGCTGGTCTCCTTAACTTGCTTTGAATGTAGTTCAGGATCTGTTCATTAATTCTGTGGGATAGAGTAAGTCTGTAGACTTTGGTAGTTTTGCCAGGATCAAAAATTATCTCTTCCTATAGCAGTACTTCCAAGTCCTATTATTTTTTATATTGTCAAAGACAGATACATATAATCCTGCCCATCTATCTATCACTAGTAGACATTGTAGGAAAATATCCATGTTAGTCTATGAGGACATTGGTAGTGGGGGTTTTTTTCAAATTAATTTTAGTAAAGGCATCAGGTTTTTTTAGAAAATAAAAATGTATTAACTAATGCCTTTACTAACATTTGGTGATTTAAAAAGTGCTACAAAGCTGATTCCTTTTGATTTTTCAGTATAGTATATAGTCAGATTGGCCTCTATCAAAAGAAATATGTGAAATACATACAGAATCATGCTATATCTTTCATTAGGAGTTCTTCTAATCTGTGTTATTTTCCCAAATACGTTTCAAGTACATAAAGAGCCTGTTCCTACTCCTACGTACATATGAGTGGCTAGCCTAAATATTCTGGGGCACTAAATAAAAATAGGGCAAAGCTTCCTTGGTTTTGGAAATTTTTAGTATCCTCTTAAAGCCAATGTTCTCTTTGAAAAATGAAATAAGGGTGAAAAGTCCATTTAGCTATTGTGGCTTCTCATATATTTTAAAGCATCCAAGTTTCTTTCAAATTTGGTTTTTAAGAATTTTTCAAAGAATTCATTCTAAAGCTTGCTTTTTTACTTGCTACACTTTTTAAATCCAATTGAACAGAAACATATTATCAAAGACCAACATAGAAATAAAAATACCTTCAAAAATACTTGAAGTGGGGTGGAAGAGTTATTTCAAAATAGATGAAAGGCCTTTTAGAAAACCCTACTGTTGACCATTTCAGATCTAAAAATGTTAATAGTGATAGAAATATCCACCCAATACCGAAATAAACTGTCAATTGATGAACCATCCAAAAACATTTAAATAAAAGATTTTCAGTTTTCAGAATATTTTCCAGTAGATGGATAGATGGGTGGAAAGATGAATATTACACTTAAAATCATTTCAAGAAAATCAGTTGATCAATTGCAGTAAATCAAAAGACTGAAGCAACCCAATTATTTGGAGTAGCACCAATTTTCGTACCACCGCTTTTTTAAAAGATCAAGAAAGTAAGATTTATCAGTGATTTTAAATCATGACTGCATTATAGCAAGCTGTAGACCTCTTCAAACCAGTTGCTGGAGGGCATGAATTCTAGACTGATGAAGGTTTAGCTCTTAAGTGTTCTTATTTCATTGTTCTGTCCATCTTCATATCTTAACAAGGAAGGTGTTTGTTGTTAAAAAAAAGTTGTATTTTAGTTAGAAAATCTATGAAAAAGATGCTTTTTCACAAGGCAAGTGGACTTTCTTGTTTGTTTGTTTTTTTCTTTGAAGACGTTTCGCTTTGTTCGCGAAACATCTTCAAAGAAAAAAATAAGTAAGTCCAGTTGCCTCATGAAAAAGCATATTTGGGATTTAGTTAGAATGGTGCATACACTGATAAAATGTGGGAACCTTACAAGTTATTATTTCACTGAAAGACATTTAAACTGCCCAGAACCAAAATACAAATAGGTTTCAAATGAAAGCAAATGTCTGGTTGAACTCTCATTTTCTGCAAGAGTTTTAGATGGTTTTTTTTTTTTAAAGGGGGTGGTGGTGGTAGTGGTGGTGTAGTAGCCTTACTTGTTGGAACAAAGCTATCTGAATAACAATTGATTCAAAAGAAAAAACAGGATGCTTCAGTATAACAATTCTGAAAAAAGAGCTAACATCTTATGGAAGCCAAAACAGCCCATACGTACTTTTCTCCCCCCCCCCAAAAAAAATTCGAGAAATTCTCAAAATCACAGACATCAGGGAACTTCTTTCCTGATTGTGAGACACCATTTATTCACAAGGGGTTAAATAATGCAGCTCCCGCCTGTGTAAACTCTGGCAGAGAAGTGTGTATACAGACAGGAAATGCAATTTGGGCCACCCCGAGACCAGTTCTGCTACCCTTCTGCATTCTGCCGGTGGACTCGCATTTCGTGTTTGGGTGGGCGTTCGCGCGCGCTCCCTCGTTCGCTCGCGGGCGGGCTGTTCCCCCCCCCCCGCCTTCCCTTAACGTGTAGGCTAAGTGGCGATGCGAGGAAGGGAGAGAAGGGGCGTCACCATCTGTTGTTAATTCTCCGGTCATTGGATTAGTAGCCCTCGGTGATGAGATCAGCAAGATCAGCTTTCAGGATGGGGTGCCTGGACTGGCTTTAGCTGCAGGCTCTTCCCATCTGGGCTGTCTGTGTCATAAAAGGGGAGAGCAAGAAAGGGGCGGGGGAGAGGCTGGGCAGAGAGAGAAGAAAAGCCGAGGCATAAAAGCTGGAGGAATCTTTGAAGAAACAACGGCAAGGCAGCCGGGGCGGCAAAGGGCAGGCTGCCCCAGAGGCCACTTTCCTTCTGCCGAGAGTTTACAGCGGGGAGTTTCCTGTCGGTGCGGCTCGCCTCGATTGTCTGCTGCAAACGCGTGGAGCACGCGAAGTCCAGAAACCGGCGCCGGGCCGTGGGTGGGGGGAGGGGGGGAAAGGACGGGCTATTTCTGCCTGAGTTTTGGTGCCAGCGCCCCCAGCTTCCCTCACCCCACCGTGATGTGGTTCCTCCACGGCGTTGAGCTCCAACTTTTCTGAGTTTTTGCCCCCGGAACGGGACTAGCGTCGCAAAACCAGCCGTTGGGGTAAGCAATAACGGGGTGTGGACGTTTTCTCTGTTGAAGGGAGATATTCTTGTAATCTTGTCCCAAGATTCTCTGCTGCTGACTCTTGTTTCCAAGTGGCTTGTCTTTCTGGATTTTTTTTTAATGCCTAAATTAAAAAAGAACGAGGCACTGTACATGCTATAAATCCAAGACACGCGGGATTGACGGGGAGATGCTTCCTTGTTTTTATGGTGTTTGGAAAAATATAACGGCTAATCGGGAATGGTTTACTCAGCTGGCTATAGGACGTCAACATTTAAATGTGTCTCAAAAAATATAACGTTGAAGCAAAGCACTGCGTGGCTTGGTGATTAAACAGCTGTTGCTAAAAATGAAACTCTGGAACTTCACCCGGTCCGTTGTAGATGCAGATTTAAAATCTGTCCAAGCTTGACTTATTTGTATGATAAATAAGCTGATTATCCAAGAACAAATAAGCGTACGGTAGGATACATGCGGTGTCTGAAACCATTATATTTTGCTAGGATGTTATAAATGGAGCGGAGACGAGGTTTAATTTACCAGGCTCACTTATTCTAAGAGATGCAAGAATAATTTCCTGTGATCAAAGCTGCCTTGATGAAGCACTGTGACTCAGACGGCAGTGGTCTGCATGTGCTGAGCCTTGTAAAAAGTAATGTACATTCTACAATAAGTGGCACATGTTCCCGCTAAAGAACAGCTGATTTCTTTTCAATACTCCCTCATAGTTACTGATTTTTTTATTGATTATTTAACTACAAATAACTCATTCATTCTAAAAAGAGGGGCAGTATATGAATGTTATATGCACTAAAAGTTCTGTATCCAAATGCACATTCTGCAATAAGTGTTACATGTTGGTTTATTGCTTTAATCATAACTTTGCTTAAAAGTGGTTAGACTAATCAACTTTGTCCCTTCCCAGTTCTTCCTTTCAGTAGTACTCCTTGTCCATGATAGAAATTATTCCATTGTGAAATAATTCATTCAAGGAATGTGTTTGTAGAGTTGGGAAGAGACAGCACTCAGCCAATGTCTTTCAGCTTCTGGCCGTTTAACCTTTGTTTGATCAATATATCTTGTTGCATTGTGGACGCTGAATGGCCCTGCCTCTGTTGAGATTTTTATTTAATTTTACAAAATAGAGGAATGGAATTACGTATTAGGGGACAGTATATATAGATGCCAGCATCAATAACTGTAGAGGTAGTGTGGATCCTTCCCAAGATCTCAAATTCAAGAATGGAAGCCATTCTTCTATTTGTGTCTTGTTATTTGACCCAGCACAACCCCTCTGCTCAGTTTCATCACTTGCACTTAGGAGAAAAGTAATACTTTCCTTTCTGGCAAGGGCACTGAAGCTTAATTTATTAATGCATCTGAGACACTCTGACTTTCTCAAGACACTGCTGAGGAAGAAGAACAGAGAATGCATTGGAAGCTGTGAAATGAAACACCACATTTCTATAGTAACTCTTTGTGGCAAACAATAGATTAGACTGAGAGTCCACTGTTTAAGGCAGCAGGTTCTATTGAATCTCATTATTTTATTCATTTTAACAAGTGATGATCCTACCAGGAACTATCTGTATAGAACAGTAAAGAAAATGATCATGAAAGGGTATCTTTTATATATTTGGCATATCCCTAGTTTGTAAATAACTAGGGATATGCCTAGTTATTTGAAAGGAGTGTCCTTACCTATGTCACATAGGTGTATAAATCAGCCAGTAAGAACAGAGGCTTGGAGTAACTGCAGTGCAGTTAAACTGTTAGCCATTTCAGTTCCAGTAAAACCAATGAGACACATAAGTCATAAGCCACAGTACTTTCAAAGGAATTGACATAGATTGGATCCTCCTCAGCTGCTCCACTGATCATGGTTAATGGTTAGATGAGGTGGATATTTTATACTTCCAAAGAAAACTTTTTGTTGCAGATCCTTGTTAGCTTCCAAAATAAATAACCCCTTGTCACACAATGCCTGCTGAGTGAAAACTGTCTCCTGCTGCTTTGTGGCAATACTCATTAAGTCTCCAGACTTCTTGTGGTAATGTAAGCGTAGCATAATGGATTTTCCGTGTACCAAGAGCAGACAACTATTCCTGTCTCCCTTCCTCCCTAGGTGCTGTTTGTCCCAGTTCTGTGTGTAGGTCACTGTCTAACTCTCTTTGAAGTGAAATGTTTGTCACACTCAGTCTTTCGTCTTCTGTTTACTGGTATTCCATCTGCTGGATGTTGATGTCTTGAGGAACAAGAGTTTATTTTCCTATTCATTCAGCATTTTCTGTTCCCATGTTCAGTTCTCTCAAATAATTGATTACATATTTACTCCACTTACCATCCCTGATTGACTGGTTATAATTGGCAGGCAAAATAGGATTGTCACAATCCAAAACTGAGAATTGTCATTGTTATTCTTGCGCATATTTCCTCCCCCCCTTTTTTTGTTGGAACATAGCAAGGTTGAATCTACTAGTAAGTATCGGTACTGAAATTAAAAGGGGCTTTCTCATATTTCTTTTCAAAATATAGATATATTGGGAATATGCATCGTCTTTCTGAGATCTTTTTAACAGGGATTCTTGAACACTTTTTAATGAGTTCAGTTCAATAGAAGTTATGTTTTTAAATAATTTTCTTGCTTTTCCTCTTCTGGAATTCTACCTACTACTGCTTCATACATCCTTTATTAAGAGCATTCTTCCAATACAACATTACTTTAATGAAAATGCTTTTAAACTATAAGATCTGCAAGATTCAATTCTTGCCTTCTGAGGATAACATACTTGTTATGTACTTGATGCAACTTGAATAATTGCTAGAGTTTCATCAATTTTCAAATGCTATTGGAATATATAAATCCCAAGCCTTTGGCCAATACAATATAGAAACAGCAGATTATAGTTCTGAAAAGTAAGCCTGCGTTCAGATAATTTTGAAGAAGGCCTACTTTGGGGGTTGTTAAGACTCATGCTGACCTAATTGTACATAATTAATTAATCCAGTAACTATTAATGCAAGGTTGAAGATGGCTTGGTTCATTGATATTTTTAAAAGTATATTTATTATATTACATGTATACATATTTCTGTCACCTTTGGTTAATGTAGGATGAGCAGCTTCATTCATCAATATGGTCTTTACAATACATCTGAACATGATTTCTGTCTCATAGATCTCCCTGTTCCATCTTACACTGCTTCTTGTCCTCTAGTTGAATCATGTACATCTGCTGCTTTTCTTGGTGTTAGTTTGCTAAGATTATTCCAAGGTAAACAGTCTGTTCCCAGAATATATGGCCAGCACTTCCCTGTTGTTTTGCGTTTTTTTGTATTTTTGTGTGCATTTGAAGTCATTCTCATCTGTAGAATCAAAACTGTCTTTCTTATTAGTGTGTATTTGTCTGTCTACCTGGTATGGGAAAAATATTTATTTCTGTCCTAGGGAGAAAATAGATACAAACCACAGGATTGGAATGAAAAGGTACACTAATTCTCCATTCTTGTTTTAATCTAGATCATGGAAAAAGAAAGAATGTGTGTTTATTGATAAGCTAGAAAATTTAGCGTAAAACAGACTAAATACTATGTATGAGTTTCTGTGTATGAGGGGTAAGTGCATCATAATGTCATCATGGTTTCAACTAGGCTGTGCTTTGTCCATATGAGATAAAGTGACCATTACAATTAAAATTGGTCATTATCTTTATCCGTAAAGTCCTTTGTTAATGGGTTCCAGATGTAGAGTAAAATTCCAATTGCAGATAGAAAAAAAAGTTGTATCCCACCAGGCATGATCACTACAATTCTTACTACAAGTTACTGCTATATGGTAATTGCCATTCCCAGATGTGTTGTCCAGATATGTTGGACAAATTGTTCATGTGTTATTGCTAGTATCCTTCCTGGATAGAGGACTATGCAGCTTGAAATTCAGGTGTTGATAAAGTTCCTTGCTGGGAAAGACTATGGAGAATTGTAGTTTCAAGTTTATATTGTTGCAAATTCTGAATGTATAATCCATGTATTTTAGTTCAAGTTAGACAAAAAGACAATTTCTCCCTAATATTAAACCCCACATAAATTAATGAAATTGCAGTATCATTAATATGCAAAAATTAATGATAAATGCAAAATGCATTGAGCATATGCAAGTCTGAATCAATTTATATGTTAAGTCGAAAGTTTTAACTATATGCAACATTTGTTAATTTGTAGCTTAAGTTTCTAGTGTGGAGGTTAAAATAAATCATAGCTTAGCATAACATAAAAACCTAATCAGTGTCCTTTAATAGTTAACACAGCCTTCCTCAAGATGGTAGCCTGCAGATATGATGGACTACACTCCCGTCACTCTCAGCATGAAGATGTTAAGCCATGTTTTTATTAAATATAGTTCATTAAAATGTATAAATGAATATATTAATTTATGTCAATATTAACTAGATTTATTAGGCACCCAACTCAAACAGTGTAACTCTGGGCAGCACACAACACAACAAATGAACAATAATTTCTGCTCCCAGGTAGAATGAAACATGTACAGTATATAAGAATAAAATATAAAATATAAATTGGCAGCCAAGCACTAAAACAAAACAAAACAAAACAAAAAAAAACAAATGGAGGCAGGGGTCTCAACTCCCAAATCCCTGGGGGAAAAAATCAGGTCTTAATAGTTTTTCTAAAGGTGAGAACAATTGGGCTTGTTGTGTATTGGAGGGGGTGGACATTCCAGAGAATGGGCAGACACAGTGAAGTCATGCTTCTCAGTTACCATAAAAAGGTATCATAAAACGACAAGACTTTAAAAAGAAGAAACTTCTTTGAACTGTGGGAGTATGTGAAGCCTGCAGATGTTGTTGGCAGGTGGTTCCTCACATATCCCAGTCCTATGCCATGTAGGGCTTTAAAGGTGATAACAGCATCTTGAATCACATCCACTGTTTCAAGCCAGTGTAGCTTGCAGAGTAGCAGTATTCCATAAGCCTTATA